TTCGTTTTTCTTTCAAGGAGCCTTACATTTTTTACATAAGTTTCAATATTATGCGCATAATGTAACCCTTTACATCAATTTATAATGTTTTTTCTTTTTTGTAACTTTATTATGATTTACGTGAATTGTATGGAAAAAAATTGTTGCGTTTTCTTTTTCTTTGTATTTACGACTACTTGTTTTAATATTGTAGCCTGAAGAGGACCCAATTCCAGGGTTGAAACATTGCCTGTTTAATAAATAACTTTTTATTATTAGCCAGTGTTGTCAATTTAAACTCACAACCTTGATTTCTAATTGACTGGCAATTACAATATATTTTACCTTGATAAAATATCTTGTAAAATATTCAGCTTTTGGAGTCATATCTTAATACTTTTATGCATGTAATAATAAGACCAATCAATCAGTGTAAAAACAACACAATTGCTTTTAAGAAAAAGTATGCAGCTGTATGTTGAAAATTACATTTTTAAAACAATTATCTATTTTCTTTGTACTAATTATAGCCGCGCCTTCGATAATTCCTTTCTTATAATTGCGACTGCATCAGAATAATTTATTTGTGCGCCGGAAGAAAATATAGACGTTAGTTAATATGTTCAATTAATCTGAAAATTAAAATTTATTCAATTCAAATTCGAACTCTTGAACAGACAGGACGCAATCAAGTAAGCGTGAAAATTATAAGAGTGCGAGATTTCCAAGTCGAACCGAGTTATTTTCTGGATGAAATCTGGTCGTATAGTGCCTCAAATTCGGCAAATAAATTAAAGTCGAGCTACCTCTGACCGAATGACTCTAAACAATTGGAACATGACAATATAATTCTTCCAATCAATTGCGGGTTGACAGATTTATTTGTCTCGAGTCCACTTATTTTTCCTGTCATTATTGGTCTCGAAAAAATTAAAAACAACTTGGGCAGTCCGAAAGCGGCGTTTTGTTTCAGAGTTCGAGAGACGATTTAACGGCTGGATTTTAATATTATACTTTCTCAAACACTAATTGGGCTCATTATTCTGTATAAAAAAGTATTAGGGTTAGATTATTAAAGATTGAATATTTGACAAGATATATTTTATCTTATGTCAAAAAAATGTTTACTTCAAACCTTTATAGATTAAAAAGTATTTAATAAAAAAACACTTTATTATAAATTTTTTAAAAAAGCTTTTGACAATGAGATAAACTACAATAATATGCATTAAAAAATAAGTTATTCTTTTTAAGAAATTGACGGTGACCTTTACACGACTGTCCAAGGTCAAATTATTGTTATCATCTTACGGTCTTCTTGAAGCCATACAAATTTGTTTGAAATATTTTTCGATTTAATGCAGTGTTTCTGAGATATTTTAATCCTTTAAAATGGATTATTCTGTATAATATATGTATATGATAAAATTTAAGAATGCTTCACAATATTTTGCAAATATTTATTAAAATATTTGCTCTTATTTTGTACTTTTTGCCATTTCCCGAGCAACTATTGGATTTGATTGTAAAAAAAGATACTAGTTTAGAGGCAATTAAATTTTCATAAAATACATATCAATCACATCTTTGAAGTGTTGCTTAGCTAGAAAGTTTCTGTATTGACAGGAACAGATGATAATCTAATAACACTAAAGAATATACCGTGCAAGTAAATTTTTTACCCTAAATTAAAGATAATTTGTTAAGAAAAAACAATATGCGACCTAGCATTATGTAGCAAAATATATTTACTTTCCGAGCTTTTAAATTTTTCCAATCTTATACAATCATTTGAAACTGATTACTCTAAGTTTTATCATGTGTTCTTTGTGGCAGATTTTCATTCAATATACATATAGTATATACAAGGTGTAACTAAACGAACGAATACAAAACATATCATCAAGTGCAGGCCAACAAATTAAATCGAAAAGTCCTGAGCCATTTTTTAATTTAAGTTTTATTTTTGACGCTATAAATTGTTAAAGTTTGCCAATTAGCGCGTGGCTACAACGGTAGATAGCGTAGGCGCCTTAGTACGTACTAAGGGCTACTAGATGGCGGTCGCGGGCCTCGAGAGCATCGAGACTCAAGTAGACATCGACTTAGTAGGCCTTAGTATGCTGTTTTCCGTATATAGTCACGCGCTATTTGGCACACTTTAACAATTTATGGCGTCAAAAATAAAACTCAAATTAAAAAATGGGTTTTTCGACTTAATTTCTTGTCCGGCACCTGATGATGTGCTTCGTATTTGTTCGTTTAGTTACATTTTGTATATACAGAGTGTCCCAAAAATAACAGATTACCCTCTAACTCTTCAGTATTGAAGTTTCAAGAAAAATGACCTAAATAAAAGTTGCAGGAATTAAATAAGTTACCTTATGATGACCTTGACTTTGACCTTAATCTCCATTTTCAAGGTTATTTGAAGGTCAACTCATGTTTCTTCAATGGAAACCCCTATTTTTGACCTTGGATTCTAAAAAAGCGGAAAATTTTATGTTCAGATACCCTCTGATAAACTTAATTCCTGCGGCTCACTATTAGAGAATGCCGGCTGGAACTCTGGCAAGTTTCGACGATGAAGTCGGCATGTTTTTTGTAGTTTAGATATTGCTGAAAAAGATTCAGTCCTCACTGGTTAGATTTCTCGACGCCAAAGAAATCTTTTAATTGATTGAAAATTAACCGCGATAAGCTGTTTTTCTGATATGTGCTTCTTTACTACTTTGACCTCAAAAAAACTGCAGCTGAAACGCATTGCTCATTATTCAAAGTGTATGGTGATGAAATTCCACCGGAAAGAACATGTACAGTTTGGTTTGAATGCCGATCTGATCAGCAGATTCTACTCCTTCTTTTATGGGCTTTTGCTAGTGTTACTTAATCCACGTTTAATTAATCAAAAGCGAGGTTCTAGATATTCCGTTAAGTGTAACTAGAATGAATCCAAAGCTGTATAAATTTTGTGTCAAAATCAAAATTGTAGTATGGATTAATGTTAAAAAAGTAGAGGTTTACACTCATGTTGTCATTAGTAAAATATTATGAATGAAATTGACTATACTCATCCGACATTGTTTTGATACAACTACGTATTTCTTTAGAGCACTTCATTATTAAAAAGTTTCTCTCGAATTAAACAATCTTTTTTGGAAATCTTCCAAGTATTTTTTATGTTCAGTCAATTTCTATCTCTAAACTATGGCGTATGTACAACTTAGTGAGTAGGAACGATTAACACTATTACGAAGTTGGAGTGATCTTCAACGTTCTTACTCGCAAACTCGAACAATATTTAATCAAACGTTCTGAAATGATGATCAACTGTTAATTTTGAGATCCACAGTCATTCAAACTATGCAGCAATATAAAACTACTGGTGGAGTAAAAGATCGCCAGATATCTAGATAGCCTAAATCAGTTACAAATGAGGAGAATCAGATGGAGATTGCACAAACATTTGTAGAAAACCCTCATCTTTCTATTTGCAACGCAGCTGAACAGCATGAAAACACTCGAGCATCTGTTCATAAAATCTTGAAGTTAATTAAATTTCATCCATATAAAGTTCACTTAGTTCAGAAACTCAATAAAGACGATGCCGATCGTCGAATAGAATTTTGTGATGATGGATTTGCACGACAAGGACCAAGATTTTTCTTACAATGTAGTATTTTCTGATAAATATACTTTCACATTAAAGGGCGAAGTGAATAAACACAACTGCAGATATTGGAGTGACACCAATCCACGCTGGATGCAAAAATCTCTTACTCAATATCCACAGAAATGAATATCTGGGCAGGTATTTTGAATAATTCAATAGAGGTTCCTTTTTTTATTGATGGTAATTTGAACGCCGCAAAATATCTGGATATGTTAAGGAATCAAATAATACCAATAATAAGAGAGATTGCAGGTAATTTGAACAAATTTGGTTTCAACAAGATGGAGCAGGACCTCATTATGCCATAATTGTTAGCGATTTTCTTAATAATCAGTTTCATCATCAATGGATTGAAAGAAGAGGTGAAATCAAATGGCCTCCTCGATCCCCAGATCTGACACCTCTTGGCTATTTTCTGTGGGGTTATCTGAAGAGTAGAATCTATGAAACAAAGCCAAATGATATATATGAGCTCCGAAATCATATTATCCGAGAGTGTATCTTGATAAACCAAGATATGATAAGAAGATCTGCTTCTGATTTTTATTAATGTACGACATATTGTCAAGAGATTGGAGGCCTTTAATTTGAACATTTAATCCACTATATACACCTCCTTCTTTTCGGCCACAGAGCCAAACGCGATGTTATTGCAAAACTTAAGCAAGAAAATTAAGAAATCTGAGAATCTGTATCCTATGGTTAAGATCTCAAGAATTCTCCTTGTTCCTCTTCTAACTTCCCCTGTAAAGAAATAGGCAAGAAAAATATTGGTCCGAAAGTTGGCTAAATCGGGAATCGAACCCGAGACCTTCCGCTTGCCGCGCGAATGCTCTTCCAACTAAGCTATTCAGACACTTACGAAACAATACTTTTCTCAATGCTTTCACCCCCTAAAGCGTCGTAATTAGGCTCAGACGCGAATAAACAATAATAAGAATATTAGATCGGCTCTTTTAATATAAACACGATGTACACCTCCTTCTTCTCGGCCACAGAGCCAAACGCGATGTTATTGCGAAAATTAACCAAAAAATTAAGGAATTTGAGAATCTGTATCTTATGGTTGATCTCAAGAATTCTCCTTGTTCCTCTTCTAACTTCCCCTCTAAAGAAATAGGCGAGAAAAATATTGGTCCGAAAGTTGGCAAAATCGGGAATCGAACCCGAGACCTTCCGCTTGCCGCGCAAATGTTCTTCCAACTGAGCTATTCAGACACTTACGAAACAATACTTTTCTCTTATTCTATCTAAACATTTAAGCTTATTTCTATCTAAGCATTAAAAATAGTATTAATTATAAAAAAAGAAGGGCCGTAAGAGCTATTAAACGTAAGACAGTTAACAGTTGATATTAAGAAAATTCATTTAAACCAAATAGTAATTACATAAAAAGTCATCATTTGCGAACATTTCGGCTGACATTTTAAGCCTTTTTCAGCGCAATACATAGATTTTTAATTATAAATTGAACCTTACAAATTAAATTTAAAAAGAGATTGTAACATTAAATATTAAAAACGGTTATTGACAATGTCAAGAAAACATATAAATATCAAAACAGTTATTGATCTCGTTACATATGTTGTTAAAAAAGTTATCGAGTATAACACCAGTAATGCTGATACATACTGAGTTCAAGCGACCGTACAATACAATTATTTATAAGTATTACCCTTTAATGGTCAAAGAAAATATCTTGATTCAATTTTCATGATGTAATAATGTTAAGTATTTGATTGAGATCTATATAAACAATATCTAATTATTCATTATGATCTACTAAGAAAAATGCACTATACACTTACTCCAACAAATTGGTGATTTTTTATATAGATGTTTCAAGTATCAGGTCTGACATTTTTTTAGATGTTTCAAGTAAAGACAAAACAAAACGTCTAACCATCACGGCTCTCAGATATCAAACGAGACAGTAACTCAGTGTTTAACCCCTGTATATCAAGGCTTGTTTTTTGGCCCTGATGATTTTGGTAGAGACTCTAAAATGTTATTATATACCAGTAAATATTCAGTGTCATTTTGTAGATTCAATTCATTAGATTGTCTTTTTATATATAACATTTCCGATATTAATCTATTATTATAATACGGTTCTTTATCTAAAATTTTTACTTCATCCCAGTCAAAATCATGGAATGTCAAAATCAGAACTCAATTCTATGATCAGTAACAACTGACTTATTAAAACAATTTCTATTGATATTTTTTTATGCTCCAATATCCTAGTATTCAATTTTCTGCTAGTCTGACCTACATATGAAACATCACAATTTTTACAGTTGATTTTATATACTACATTAGTATTCGCTCCTTTATCGAATCCGCACATAATTTGTTTTGAGGATTCTACTGAAGAAGACCCGAAGTGGGTCAAAACGTTTAGAATTTAATAAATGAGTTTTATTTGAGATCTCATTTCAATTTATTAATTTTGTGCATGACATCCGCACAGGCTCCGATTGCCGTCGATATTTCATTTTTATTATTATTTAATCCACTAGTTTTCCATTCACACATAAGTGAGAATCCAATCCCAGAAGCGACCTTCATCTTGCATTTATTGGCCGAATAACTTAGATCTTGCCTTCAATGGCTGGATCATTACTTCAGTGGCTAGATTTGGGGTCTGAAAATTCAGCTTGCTATGCAGGCAATGGTTACCTAATATTTTGTTCAATCAAGTGAACGTTGGGAACGTATTCCATTACTACACGGTGCTCTCAAATAATTATTTGATCTTCAAATAACCGCTACAGTTCATTTCGATTTTCATAGATACATATTTGAACGTGAAATTTTCCGCTCTTTCAGAATTTGAGATCAAAAATAGGGGTTTCTATTTAATAAACATGAGTTGACCTTCAAATGATTTTGAAAATGGAGATCAAGGTCAAAGTCAAGGTCATCATAAGGTAGCTTACTTAAATTCTCACAACTTTTATTCAGGTCATTTTTCTTGAAACTTCAATACTGAAGAATTATTAGGATGGTCCGTTATTTTTGGAACACCTTGTATATATAACACTTGCAAATCATTAGTTTTTAGTTTTTGTGGCATTCTAAAGTGTGATTGACAATTAACATCAAAATTACTATTTGCAAGTATTATGGATAGAACATCTTTACAAAGAGCAGAATAAATTAATTTATGTATATACTTATAGCGACGTTCTTTCCTTATTGAAATTCATATCAAATGTACATAACGATTATAAAACTTTTGGTCGCTCATCTTATTTTGTGAAATAATGTTTAATATTAATTATATTTAACGTTTTGAAAATGTTAATGTTAACATTTCAAAAACACAAAAGGGTAAAAATTTATTAATATCTTAAAAAATTGTATCAATATGTAGAAAGACTAAAACTTTTGTGTAGAATACCCCTAATATATTTTTACATGCATACTCACTCGTGTATGTATAAAGTTTTATTATAAATAAAATATAATGCAACTTACCATTTGTATTTTAGTTATAACAGGTTTGAGAAAAGATATCATTTGTTGATATTTCGGGCCCAATGCAGAAACAAAATAATATACATACATAATTACATGTATCCCACAATTAAGTAGAGGAACTAATAACGCTCTCTCGTCCAAAATGTATTTTAAATAAACCCAACCAAAAAAAATATTAGAGACATGATGATAGACGTGCAAAGTGGAAACTTGATTCTGTTTCTTCCTCAACACAAATATACAAGTTTCTATCAGATCGAATATTTTTAATATAAATAGCCACCATAAAGAATTGAACATCTGAAACAAAACTTTGATAAAATCAAGCACACAAAGTGCTATTAAAAAAAAATAAAAAAAATATTGGCTATATATATATATATATATATATATATACATAGACAATATTTTGTTACATACATAGACAATATATATATAAAATGTGAATAATAACGAACAACAGGAAATATCTCACAGTAATTATCACAAAAATATCTGATTAAAAACGGAAATGAAAGAATTTTAAATTAGTATAATATTAAATGAAAAAAATTACTTAATTGTGTACTAATTTGTGTAATAATGATCTGCTCAATAATTATCGATAATATAATTATATTAATATAATACTTTTCTAACACTGTCTTAATTTTCTCTCTTCGAAACTGAAATTATTACGACTTTTAAAATTTATATATTTGTAATTTGCAAACATTTAATGTGTAAGTAGAAATAATATGAAGGCTCTATTGAACCAAAAGTTTGATCTTAGAACTTCTTTTTTAAACAGCTGACAATTTCTTGAGTAGAATATAAGGCCACTCATAATCTTATATTCCATATTATCATATTTACTCTACTCGCTTTCACATTGTCTATTTATATTTAAAAATTATTTACAACTTATTTTTCAAACAGACAATATATAATCTATAACTAATTATAATATTACATATAATAAAAATATACTTTAAGCGTATTGGGAGAATGCGGAAATGGCTCTGAACACAATACGCCATATTTTGAAAACCAGCCAAAAGATATATGTTCTTGTACCATCCATAAGTTTGCTAAAATTTGTATAAAGTTATAAAGCAATATCAAGGTTTTCAATTTATATGGCGATCGACCTATCATGTAGTGAGGTCCAATATAAAGAATAAAATTGTAGCAGAAAAATATTTGGAAAGAATATAGAACATTGCAGTCACATGGTGAGTGTATGTGTGTCTTTATTATTATTATTATTATATTATATACATTGTAATATATATATTACATAATAAAAACTTTTACATGTGTAGGATGAAGAAGCAGAGAGACAAAAGAATGAAGAAACAGCATAAGAACAGCAATAAATTAGAAAATAAATAAAAAAAAAATAATAAAGAAATTAGAAAATAAAAAATAAAAATAAAAAACAATTAAAAAAAAAATAAAAAATAAAAAACAATTAGAAAATAAATAATAAAAATAAATTAGAAAAAAAAAAATTAGAAAATAAAAAATAAATTAGAAAATAAAAAAATTAGAAAATAATAATACAATTTTTTACAAAAAAAAAACTCCCGACTGCTGCCAACAAAGTTTTAATGTTTAAATTAAAAAATAATGTTTAAATTAGAAAATAAATAAAAAAAAATAATAAAAAAATTAGAAAATAAAAAATAAAAAATAAAAAACAATTAGAAATAAATAAAAAATAAAAAACAAAACAAAAATTAAAAATAATAAAAGAACAAAAAAATTATAAGTATAAAAAATAAGCTTGTAAAAGTTGGAAATAATCACACATAAATAAAGTCTGTTGTTTATTATATAATTTTTCTTATTTAAATTTATTGTTATCATACATATTTAGCGCTATATAATTTACAAAAATTTCAGATTTTTGAATTCAAAAAATTTTTTAATTATAATTATTATTATTAATTCTACAATTTACAAGAGCAGTCGGGAGACGCCGCGCGTCTAAAAACTGTAACGTCCGTTGAGTATCGATATTTGTGTTTGTGTCTATTTATTACATAAAACGTGCGCGTGCGTATATGTCTCAAATTTAGCGCGGCGTCTCCCGACTGCTCTTGTAAATTGTAGAATTAATAATAATAATTATAATTAAAAAAATTTTTTGAATTCAAAAATCTGAAATTTTTGTAAATTATATAGCGCTAAATATGTATGATAACAATAAATTTAAATAAGAAAAATTATATAATAAACAACAGACTTTATTTATGTGTGATTATTTCCAACTTTTACAAGCTTATTTTTTATACTTATAATTTTTTTGTTCTTTTATTATTTTTAATTTTTGTTTTGTTTTTTATTTTTTATTTATTTCTAATTGTTTTTTATTTTTTATTTTTTATTTTCTAATTTTTTTATTATTTTTTTTTTTTTTATTTTCTAATTTAAACATTATTTTTTAATTTAAACATTAAAACTTTGTTGGCAGCAGTCGGGAGTTTTTTTTTTGTAAAAAATTTTATTATTATTTTCTAATTTTTTTATTTTCTAATTTATTTTTTATTTTTTAATTTTTTTTTTCTAATTTATTTTTATTATTTATTTTCTAATTGTTTTTTATTTTTTATTTTTTTTTTAATTGTTTTTTATTTTTTATTTTCTAATTTTTTATTATTTTTTTTTTTATTTATTTTCTAATTTATTGCTGTTCTTATGCTGTTTCTTCATTCTTTTGTCTCTCTGCTTCTTCATCCTACACATGTAAAAGTTTTTATTATGTAATATATATATTACAATGTATATAATATAATAATAATAATAATAAAGACACACATACACTCACCATGTGACTGCAATGTTCTATATTCTTTCCAAATATTTTTCTGCTACAATTTTTTTAATTAATATAATATAATATAAATAGAGAGATAAATAAAAAAAAATAGCTAGATAGATAGATTGATAGATAGAGAGAGACAGATGACAAAGACAGATGACAACAATATCTTATATCAAATACGTAAACTTGTACGCAGTTATAATTATGGCTTTGACAAATATATTAACTTTCTTATGGCTATATAAGTTTATACATTATGTAATCACAAGTAAGTTTATATATTTGTATAGCCTTAATTATTATTACATATGTGAATAATCTTTTGTAGTAGATAATTGGCTATGTAAGTTAATATATTTGTCTGCATTGCCATAATTATTGGTGCGCTAATATCTTTGTATAACTATAAATATATTTGTATACATATTTTTAATTAATTATATAATTATTATATAATATACAAATAAGAGAAAAAATAACTATATACATTTATACAATTATATATGTGGATATTTATAGCAATGTGGCTACGTAGCAAATTTAATAGCAAATAAGTGGCTACGCAGACAAATATAAATTCATATAGCCATGTTATGACTACAACAGATTAATTATATTATTAATTATATTATATATTTTTATTAATTATTAATAACAAGACTTACTCGTTTTCTATTATTAATAATGTTTTCTTCTTCAGATATCTTCAAGCGAGTATCTTCTTCCTACATATAAATAAAGAAACAATAAATAAATAATAATAACAATATTCTAAATAAAGAAAAAAACAATAAATATAAAAGAAGAAACTTACTCCTTTATTTATATCTTCTTGAGATATATCCATAATAATACACTTCACTTAATATTGTTGTTGACAATAACACGCAACAGGTGACAGCTAACCTATCCTATCAGTCCCGTCATTATTACTTCGAGATGTATATACCAATGTCACCAACATTCCCTATCCGGATACTACAACGAATCTCATTGGTGAATCATTTTTCCTCTTAGGTTCACACAGCAGCCAATGAGAGACCGTATTGACGAAATAATACTCATTTTTCACTTTTTATTAATAGAATAAATAACGATAATAATACGCTTTAAACCTTC